TCAACTGTGGTGTAAATTTTCGACTCCTAGCTGATCATGGTCGTGAGCTATTAATTAATTATTATTAATGGCATTTTCATTAATTAACTCATATCTCCGTCAAAAAGGCGCATGGGCCCAAAAACGTCGAATAATCGACGTTTACTCTTTCTAATAGGGCGTTTGAACTTTTGTCCGAACATGACCTTATACAGGGGGTGGCCTTCTAATATAGGGTGGCCGTCTATTTTGGGGGGGGGGGTTACTTCCTCGAATTATCGATTATTAATACGTAATTTTTGGAGAAAATCAGGTAATAGACCTACCCCGGGCATTACTCAACTACATTGAGGATAACAGCAGTTTACTATATTATTTAACAAAAATCGATATAATGGAACTGTTAGAAAAGCATTAAGGATTACAAGACAGTCTTGTAAGTGTAGGAACTGGGCTTTATGTATTATTTTTTAATGTGCTATAGCTCGGTCATCGGCTGCTCTAATAGTTTCACTTCTTACTTAAACAAATACTAGATGAAGAATTAGATAAATCATGAAAGTTCAAAAAGAAATCATCAAAAATTCGTCCTATAAGATTCTTATCAGTCGCAATATGAGGATCTTATAAGAATTAAATAAGATTTTGAAAAGACTTTTAGTATACAATTTTTTATAAAAATCTTTTAGTATCTTATAAAAAATGATCAAAAATTTTAACTAAACTTTGTTCTCATCTCCAGACAACAAGAAAATGTTTTTATTTTTCTTTCTTTTCCTTTTTTTGACTATAATAAGAATCGTACAAATTTTTTGATACGTTTGAATTCAGCGCTAATGGCTCAATTAAGCGTCCACTGGATCGGCCGCTTGCAGCTGGCAAACGGGTACTTGCTCGGGACAGCTAGCTATTTGACCCGAAAAATCTACGATTAAGCGAGCGCTTGAGTTATTTGATAAGCTAGATTTCCTTGCTAACTCTTTTCTGCCTGGGCAGCAGCATAGTAATACACACATAAAAGAACTATGATCAGCTCGCAACATCTGTGAATCTACAACTGTGTTGGTCCTTTATAGATGACTACAGTCTTAAAGCCATAATTTTTTATAACAAGTCATTTGATCGAAAAACCATCTGGCCTCATGCCTTGTATTATTTGGGCTAACCTTCGGCCAAGTCCACCTTTTCGCTCTATATCTTGTACCACTTGGTCGTTTCGGCCTCCATCCTCCCTTCAATCAAATATTTTTTCGACCGTATGCCACGTTGCCTTTAGTTCTTTTTACAGTTTAAGAGTTCCGCGAAAGAAATGAATCGAATTTCTAAGAAAGCACGCATCGAATAAATGTCGAAATTAGCTGCATCAAATATGTGAAATTCGAAAGTTTTAGTTCTTAGACTCCAATCAAGAAAAGCATCATTCCCAACTCACCAGGACTGAGTTTCACTAAACTGTGATCAGCATCACAGGCACGAAGACAGCATGGACCTAGACGAAAGATGAAAAGTAAGATGGATTATCTCGAAATCAAGTGAACATTGTCTTACATTTAGCAGTACATCCGCGTGCTTTATCCAATAATTTAATATAAGATTGATCTTTATCAAACTGTGTAAAGGTAGCTGCTATACCATCATAATTTTGGTTAATGCTTTGTACATCTGCCAATATACTCCCTAAGCATAATTGAAAATTTTTAATTGATATTACTGTCATTTTATCTTTCCCTTCGGAACTATTCATAAAATTAACCAGATTAATCAATGATAAACCTGCTTGTGGTAACTTTCGAAAAAAGTTGACACCTTTCTTCGTTAGGGTGTACGTATTATTATACACTGTGAATTTTGTACCCGATTCAATTTTTACATTTTTTAAATATGAATACAGTATTAATATCATACAT